AAAAATCCCCCCTCCCCCCACCCTCCCCCCCCCCCCCAAAACGGAAACCACCCAAATCGTTTCTGTTAATGCAGGAAAAAATTCAGGACCATCTGAAGATTCTGAGGGACGAGAGAGAGAAGCTGCTGGGATTGAAGCTGAGCAGAGAGGAGAGCAGGCAGGAGTATCTGGTAGGTGCCTGTGGTTATTCACCTGCATTGACGTGGGGGGTGAGGCCTGTCTGTAGGCAGCTTCCTTTGGGGCTTTGGGGCCCAAATCGTTTCTGTTAATGCAGGAAAAAATTCAGGACCATCTGAAGATTCTGAGGGACGAGAGAGAGAAGCTGCTGGGATTGAAGCTGAGCAGAGAGGAGAGCAGGCAGGAGTATCTGGTAGGTGCCTGTGGTTATTCACCTGCATTGACGTGGGGGGTGAGGCCTGTCTGTAGGCAGCTTCCTTTGGGGCTTTGGGGAGTGTCGGCTTTTGTCACGGATGCGCTGTGCGTCTGGGTGGAGATGGATTTCTGCCCAGGCTAATTTGGGACCTCTGGAAAAATCTCCGTCTGCCACGACTGGGGTTGGAGATCTTGCTGCCTGCCAGAGCACGGGCTTGGGAGCTAGAGGCTGGCCTCAGCGGCAGCCTGGGTAAAAAGGGGCCCATGTTGTCAGGAGTGGGGTGTTGCTGTGAGTCCTCACAGCGATCCTAGATCTGGCCAACTTCACCCCTCTTAAGAAGGACACATGGAGGTTGTGGTGAAGGTGCTGCTGCAGGAGGCTACCTGGGTGCAAGTGGCTGCCCAGCGGGAGTCAGTGCAGCTCCAACAGGAAACAAACCAGCTGCTGATCATCCAGGCAGCCCAGGACCGAGCCACCCTGCAAGAGGTGGTGAACCAGCTGCAAGCCCTGGTCATCCAGACATGTAGTCAAGACAGGACCCGACCATTATGGGCCAATTGATACTTACAGGCGACCACTGGTATGCGTACGGGGTGTGCCGGGTGTGCCCAGGCACACCCTAATGTCTTAGGGTTGCCAGGTGTCCGTTTTTTTTGCGGCTCTGTCTGGTAAAAAAAATCCAGAAAATCCTGGACGTGTGCAATGTCCGGTATTTTCTGGTTTTCTGACTGGGTGCCCGGAAGCCTGGCGGAGGGCGTGACTGGGAGGCCGGGCGCGATCAGTGCTGGGAGCCCTGGCTGTGTGTGAGGAGAAGGGGCAGCCTGGTCCATGCTCCTGCGCGCTGGTCAAGCGCGTGGTGGAGCTGCAGCCGGACTGACTCGCGCTTCGCCTGGACCGTGCGGGGGGGTGGGAGCGCCCTGGGATTGGCACTGCCCGGGTCAGTCCCACTCCCCACTGGCTGATACACTCCTCCCCCTCTCCCCTGGCCAGCTGGTTGTTTCTCCCCCACTTCTCCTCCGGATCTTCCCCGGCCAGACCCGCTACACCCTCCGCCAGCACTGCTTCCGGCGGCCAGTTCTCCCCTCCTCCTGAGCTGTCCTGGCCAGCCCCGCTCCCCCCTCCGCCAGCACTGCTTCCGGCGGCCAGTTCTCCCCTCCTCCTGAGCTGTCCTGGCCAGCCCCGCTCCCCCCTCCGCCAGCACTGCTTCCGGCGGCCAGTTCTCCCCTCCTCCTGAGCTGTCCTGGCCAGCCCCGCTCCCCCCTCCGCCAGCACTGCTTCCGGCGGCCAGTTCTCCCCTCCTCCTGAGCTGTCCTGGCCAGCCCCGCTCCCCCCTCCGCCAGCACTGCTTCCGGCGGCCAGTTCTCCCCTCCTCCTGAGCTGTCCTGGCCAGCCCCGCTCCCCCCTCCGCCAGCACTGCTTCCGGCGGCCAGTTCTCCCCTCCTCCTGAGCTGTCCTGGCCAGCCCCGCTCATGAAGTGTGTCCAGTATTTTTTTTAGGACTACCTGGTAACCCTATAATCACCAAAAAAAAGTAGCTTTGCATTTTAATTTAATTGCTTGATACGCTGTTTTCGTTTTAAAGTACAGATTGCTGTATTATGCAATAAGGGCCGAATTGTATAATACAGATGTTGTAGAAATGTATAGAAAGCCCGCGTTACCTCGCAGCACGCATCCCCACTACTGCGGCGCCACATTACCATCGGTCCTCCTCTCCCCCTCCGACTACTATTCTAGAAAATTCTTTGACCTTTATAAGCTACTGCCTCAGGTGTGCCCAGAGCAGTGTCCACAGTGTTTGTAATCTTTGTCGCGTGTACTCTACTGAACTCGCATAACAAGCCCATGGCTTTACGTTTTAATTCAATCACATGATACCCCTTTTTAATTTTAAAATATGGATCGGTTCGTTGTTAAGAAAAGGAGCAAACTGAATTATAATGAATGTGCTGATAGTACTGCAAATACCTCGGACTCCTCGGTTAAGAACTTACATGAAGATAATGCTGCCACCAGTTCCAGTGTGTGCAATAAACTGAGTAATAACCAACAGAAACAGACTTTGTCTCTTACGTCAGGTCAGCGTAGTTCCTATTCAAAGCCATCAAACATTCCATCTGATGACCCGGTCTGTGATATTCCTAAAAATAGATTAGAACTGCCTCGATTATCTAGAGGTCCTTATCAGCTTAGATTGAGCATGTTTCCTAGAAATAAAATAGGTAATAAACAAAGACGTTTTTAGTCCGATTGGTATGAAAAGTATAGGTGGCCCATCGAAGGACGCAGCATTTTGCTTTTACTGCTGTTTCTTCTGCTCTAATGATGCAGCAAACAAAGATCACACGGATCCAGCATTTATTGATAAGGGATTCAGAAACTGGCTAACAAATGTTTTAAAAACCACCAACTGCCAACATCTCATGTGTTGAGCTGTTCTTCATGGTCAAGTTTTAATGAAGGGAAACCTATTGATGTATTGTTGGATGAGGACAAGCAGGCTTATCTGTCTAAACAAGAAGAACGGTGCCATAACCGAAGCGTAATGGAGCGACTGATTGACATTGTTCTGTGTTTGGCGAAAGGTGGAGACCATTCAGGGGTCACAGTGAAAAAGCTGACAGTTTTGAGAAAGGTTTATTTCTAAATCGTGTCAATATGCTCCAAAAATATGATCCCGTAATGGCAAAGCATGTGCAACAATCTCCTTGAAACGCTACCTAGCTGAGTAATCGCATCCAAAATGATTGAATTGTGGCCTTGCACAAGATTGTGCAACACAAGATTGTGTCTTCACTAAATGGAAAAATGGTCTCTATAATTGCCGATGACACTACTGACTGTGGACACCATGAACAGATTTCCATTGTGGTGCAGTATTTTGACAATGAAAAACATAGTCCAGTTGAACATTTTGCGTCTGTCTGTTCAGAGACTATTAACAGTTGATGCTCAGTCTATTTTTGACCAGTTAAATGTCGTCCTTGGCATTCTTAAAATTAACTGGTCATCAGTGATGTCTGTCTGTTTTGATGGCGCATCTGCTATGTCTGGATGTACGGTGGGAGTTCAAATGAAATGTAAAGAAAGAAACAGTGAAATACTCTATGTACACTGCTATGTGCATTGTTTGAACCTCATCCTAGTAGATGCATGCACTTCAAGTAAACAAAACAGAACTGTCTTTGATTTTTTTGGTGTTATTCAGACTCTTTATGCCTTCATGGAAGGGAGTCCTGTGCGACATGCAGTAATGGAGAAGATTTCACAAGAAGCAGGATCCCAGTTGCAGACTTTGAAGTCACTGTCAAACACAAGATGGGCATACAAAGCAGAAGTAGTGGCTGCTGTAAAACAAAACTACTCCATCATTTTACAAGCTTTACAAGAGATTATTGAAACAACTCGCCTTGCTGACGCTAAAATAAAAGCCAGGGGCCTTATCCATGAACTAAATTCATTCAAGTTCATCTTTGCCCTTCACATCATGCACCCTATTCTCCAGATGGTGGTAAAAGTGAGTAAGGCACTTCCAGCTCCAGATCTCAACTTACTGCAATGACAGAGGTGAAAAGCTTGCGTAACTCTTTGGCTGTGATGAGAAGTGGCCCAGAATATTTTCAATCTATTTTCAATGACTGTGAAAATGTGCGTAGAGAATGATATATCGATTTCCCCAGTTAAGAAGAGAAAAACGTCCACTCGTATTGATGACGCGTTTGAGTCCCAGCATCACTTTGATACAAAAGAGGAGCAGGAGAGAATAACTTCATTTTACCCGCTCCTAGACTCAATGATTACCGGCATTGACCAGCGATTTGAACAGGAGCCTTGTAAAATGGTGACTGCAATGGGAAAACTGCTGAGCTTAGACATTGGCAGGGACAATATGAGAATCACTGCCAACAAATTTAAAGAATCCTTAGATGAGTTGGAAGCTAAAGTCAGATTGCTTCGGGGTTATGACAGATCTGTTCCTAAAGGTAGCACTACAAACACCACCAACAGAGAGTGGCTTGATTGGCTAAAGGAATTGGATCGATCTTCCATGTTCTAGGCCTTTTACAAATCTATTCAATGCTTTGCAGTTTTACCTGTTACAAGCTGTTCATGTGAAAGAGCCTTTTTGAAACTAGCACATGTAAAAAACAAACTAAGAAGTACAATGTCCCAAGAGCACCTCGACTCACTCATGATTTTGTACACTGAACAAGAATTGGCTTCGTCAGTTTACAATGGTGTGATTGAGGAATTTAAGACCATAACACCTGGTGAGCGACGTCTCATTCTCTAGGACAGGAAGATGAAGAAACCTTAATCTGTTTTGGTCAATTTGGGTTAGCTCATTATCTGGTTAAAGATAAAGATCATGAAAATTGACTGTATCTTTGTATACGCCTGGTTATCACTACAGCAAACATTTGGTTTTTTGTGTCTCATTTTTTAAGTTTGTATTTTTTAAGTAAAATTCCGTTGTTAATTTTTTTTCAATTAAAGTTTAGCTAAGTTTTAGTTTCTTTAGTTTGTTTGATGAATAGAAATAATGTCCTTTATGATTGAGTATTCAATAAATGTTCGCCTTTAAAAAAAAATTCCCTGGGTGCACACCCTAATGAAATGTGTTGCGCATGCCTATGCAGGAGACGATGATGCGGAGGCCGATCTTTTGGCCTTTGAAAGGACAGCTTTGCAGGAAGCCTAGCCCCAAGCCCATTGGGCCACCATTTTAGTCCGTTTCCTGAGTAACGTTCGTTTGAACTTAGCAGATTGATTTGAACTAAGTGGAGCGCACTTCCTGGTTCAAATCAGCTGGTGATCAGAATAGTGCACGGGCAAGATTATGCTAATGAAGTGCAGGATATTTAAATCCCTGCTTCATTAGCAATTTCGGTTGGCTACATTTGCATCCCTATCTCGAGATAGGGAGCAAGTGTAGACATACCCTAAGGGATCAAGTGGGGATGTGCGAGAAAATTCTCTTTCTCATAACCCCAGATAAGGGGCAAATGTTAGATGTCTTAAACTGTGCGAAGATCCCTCCCTGCTACACCCCCAACCAGCCCTTTCCCTGTTTTCACACAGAAACAGACACAAGCCGAGCGGCAGAAGGTTGTGGCCGAGTTTCAGCAGCTGCGGCAGTTCCTGGAGGAACAAGAGCGACTCTTGCTGGCCCAGCTGCAGAAGCTGGACCAGGAGATACAAAACGAAACTGTCACCAGACTCTCGGAGGAGATTTCCCGTCTCAGCGAGCAGATCGGGGAGCTGGAGGGGACATGCCACAAGCCAGCCAGTGAATTCCTGCAGGTGAGACCGATTTAGAAACAGCCCAGCCCCCACCCCGGGGACAGTTCAGCTCGGGGGTCTAGCAGTCAGGAAAGCTCAGTGTGTGAATTTCTGAAATGTGCAAGGCAATTCTATGAAGAATTGGGAGACCTATAGCTAGGAGAGGTGGAACAGCCCCCTTAGCTGAACTAGTCCTTGGTCCTGGGGCCCGGTGAGAGCCAAGTTTTCCCAAGAGTTGCACAATCCCTTCCCTGGGATCCCCAGTGTGTCCAGGGCCAGATTAAGACATGCCGAGGCCCTAAGTGCTGACCTGGTGCTGGCCACTGTCGGCAGACAGGCTACTGGGCTAGATGGACCTTTGGTCTGACCCAGTACTGCCGTTCTTATGTTCCCACAATGCCCTGGCACTCCCAGCACCTCCTCCCTGGGGGCTGGAAACGCCGACACCCTGTACCTGTCTAGTCCAGCCAGCCCCGTCTGCTTGCATCTTTCAATGCTCACCCTGCCTGGAAGATGCCTCACTGTTGTGGAGCGTGTTCCCAAAGCAGCCATTTTCAAAGGATCCCACCTGTTGAGCCCCACGTAAACCCAAACCACACTGTGGGCCGCAAATGAACCGCGTGTTGAGTAGCCCTGCCCTAAGCTATGTCAAGTTTAAAACGCCCCATAGTCATTTATTAGTAATTATTTCGAGGTCCCTCATCTGAGGCCCCCAGCTGCATCTTACTTAGTTTGTGCATAAACCTGGCACCTCGCGTGTCCTGAGATTCTCCTTCTCTTTCCTCCCCTCTAGGATGTGAGATGCCTCTTCAGCAGGTACGTGGGCCTTCGCACTTCCCTCCCTCTGCACGTCACAGGCAGGAAAGAGCGTGGAAACCACATTAGCTGCACTCTCCCCCAGGGCTACACAGCACAACGAAGGGGGCAGGGTCCCTCTGATTAGCTTACTCCCGAGGCTTCTCACCCTGATAGAGAAGACTCCAGAATTCTCCATTCATTGGGAGAGACCGAGCTCCAGGGTTTCCTGGAGCTGCCACCTCCCTGGGGACAGGCTGCCTCAGGACTGTGGGCGTGGGACATGGGCCTGTCACTGCTGGAACATTGTGGTTCCAGCTCGGGCCAGCAGAGCTCAAGAGACTTTCCCGCCCGAGGGCTGTTTGGAGACCTGTGTGGGATGAGCGGGGAGCTGGTGTCTCAGTCTAGTTCCTAGTGGGCAGATTTCTACAGCCCTGGGAACTTCCCATCCTTCGGAGCACAGAGGTCAAGATGTGGACTGGCTGTGGAGACTGAGTTCCCCCTTTATCCCCAGAGCAGGTCTCTGCAGGCCAGCTGAAAATTATGACTGAGACCTTCAGAGGTAAGGTTGCCTGGTCTTGGCCCGTGTGGCACCCGCCCGGAGGCTGGGAGAAACAGAGGAATTCTCTCTCCAGGCCCATGAGAGCAGCGACTTCCACCCACAACACTGCAGAGTTTTGGCACAAAACCAGCTGTTTTTGCGCCAAAACTCATGCAGCGTCCTCACCTCAAGGGTGTTTTTGCGCAAGAAAATGTACAGTGAATCAACAGAACAGAAGGGCTGTGTCTAGATCGTACCCCTTTTCCGTAAAAGGGATGCAAATTAGACACAGCGCAATTGCTAATGAAGCGGGGATTTAATCTCTCCTGCTTCATTTGCATAAACATGGCTGCCGCTTTTTTCCGGCTCGGGTCTCTTAAAAAAAGGAATAAGGGATCTTTCGGAAAAGGCTTTATTTTCCGAAAGATCCCCGTCTAAACTGGCGCTTTTTG